CTCCTCCTCCTCCTCCTCCTCCTCCTCCTCCTCTTTCTCGCCACAAACCCCACTCCCTTCTAGCACGGATGACGTTCCCTAGTTGGGTCCTGAAACGTCTGCAAGAAAACAGCCCAACTCCCAAGAGCCACATCAGGGGTCTTCTTCTGCCCACTTGGGACAAGCCCCCCCTTGAGACATCCTATGGACCCTGGTGAGACCCAACGGGGGTTGAGCAGGCCATGGCACCCCATGCCCTTCCTTAGCATGGGGGGTGGGGGGGTGAGGTGGGGCTGGGTGGCTGCAGGAGCCCAGCCAGGGGGCGCTTCTTCCCTGCCGTGGGTCCCGTTCACCGGCGCCCTCGTCTTCTTCTGTACAGGTTACCATCAGCACGACCCCTCCCGATGCCGCGCCCCGGCCTACAGCATGGCCAGCCGGCGTTTCCAGATGCTGGAGAGCTGCTCTCCCGGCCCGGGATACATGGTCCCCACCAACATGACTATGAGAGGGAAGGACGGCAGCCCCGCCTACTCCATCTACGGGCGCCCCAAGGACGGGGTGACCTTTCGGACACCGGGGCCAGGTCAGTGTCGGGACCAGGGCGCCCAAAACGTCCTGTGTCACCTTACCCCCGTTTGCTTAATGACCGTTCAAAGTTACAACGGCAGTAAAAAAAAGGTTACGACCGTGTTTCACACTTGCGACCGTTGCAACATCCCCCAGGGTCACGTGATTGACATTCGGATGACTTGGTGACTGATTCACAGTAGTGTCCCGGGGCTCACGTGATCCCCTTTTGCGACCTTCCAATGAGCCAAGTCCCTGGGGAAACTGGATTCACTTAGTGACCAGGTTGCTAACTGAACAACCGCAGTGATTCACTTGACCAACGTGGCAAGAAAAAGTCGTAAAATGGGGCAAACTAATGGATGTTCCCCTTAGCAGCCTAGATGTTGGGCTCGACCATGGTCGCAACTCGAGGACTACCGGGGTATAGGGCCGTGGGTTTTTCAGCCCCCTCTTCCCCGATGATCCCCGGAGCTGAGACCCAAGAGAATGCCGCCTTTCCTTCCGCCCGCAGGTCGCTATTCTCCGGAGAAAGCCGGGAAGTTGGCCTATCCGTGTCCCCCAAATTACTCAATGGCTTCACGGACAAAGGACTTCCAGAACGAACAGACGCCGGGTGAGATGTGTGGCTTTGTTGTGTGGCTTTGTTGTGTGGCTTTGTTGCATTGCTTCGTTGCGTTGCTCTGCTCTGCTCTGCATTGGCTGGGTAGTTTTGTTCACATTGAATGGTGTTTCTTTGCGTTGCTTCATGTTGCTTCGTTGCACACAACATGCACTCAGTCTTAGTGGGGCTGGACCTCATTCGTGAGGTCAACAGCCCCAGGCCTGCCGGAACAGCCGGGTCTTAACAGACTTTCGGAAGGCCGAGAGAGTGGGGAGGGTCCGGATCTCA